AATTCTTGCAAGGTAAGAAGGTAGCTTGCTTTCAAGGCTTGTTTTATAGAATACCGAGTTCATAGTTCTGGGGACCCGTATTTCTACTGAACTGTATAATATGAGATGCCTTTGACTGATCACATTTTGGGCTTTTCGCTCCTGTATTAAACGTCACTGTCCTTTCTGTCCCGACACAATAACATCATTTTCCGTCTTCTCGCAAGGACATCCTAGAACGTATGAATTCGTCGTCCTCGTTCTCCAGTCTGTACCAAGCTCTCTCCTGGAGCGATCTATTATTTAGCGCCGTTAAATTTTCAAAGTCTCCACGGAAAGCGTCTTCCTTCGTACAATGTAACTGCCTTCAGTTTGCGATTTGAGTGGAGAGATCGATAGAACTAAAAAGCAACGGATGTGGAAAATACAACAAAGGTCGTTTATACAATAAGCAACACGTTGTGTCTTTGATAAAGCCGAAATAGTCGTGAATAGGTTCTTTTCACGGTTTCTGGTGGATCACAATAGAACTAAAAGAATTACTTTCATACACCTATATCTACCTTTCTCACACACACAAATGCAATCGCCTTTATGTACGGACGTTTGATTGTGTGAACTCAGAGACGTACGATTTTTAGTTTTGTCTCACCGTCATGGACATTTTCTCGCCAACACGTATGAGTCTTTCCAATTAATGATTGGCTCTGTTAGTATAATAATTTGCTTGTGATGAGCGTGTGACATGTTTTCCCATGTTGATCTTCAGTACGAGTCATAGTTGAGTCTGAAGATGCAACTACAACCTCGATAGTCTGTATTAGAAGTAGTTTCAGAAAGTAAGTGAAAACAACAGTCCTCTACCTCACAATTCATGTGGGTATGCAAGAGCGAGTAGCAACTGCGTTACGGATCGGGTTGCACTGCAATTTTCCTTAAGAAGTTGAGTTACGCACATTGTACCATTAGTCAATCTGTTTACTTATTTCGTATGGCATTGTGGCGTAACCATCAAAAACCGCTAAAGTAGAATCGTATCGTCCTAATACTGCGACTCTGCTAAAAGGAGTTCAAGAGAATTTATTGATATAAGAATACATATATATGTACTGTATTACAGCGCCCCAAAGGGGATCTGAAAAATCTTTACGTCACCTATGAGGCAGTAGAAGAATACAAAAATGTCAATGTCAAATCATTTGGGACCTCGGTTGGCCGCGTGGGTCAGAGTGTCGTGCTACTGATCAGCCGGCCGGCCGGGCCGCGAGTTCGAATCTCGCCTTCGCCATGGATGTTGTGTGTTTGTTTTAGGCAGCAGCGGTGGCCGCAGTAGTAGACTCTTCGGTCTCCTGATCAGTCGCCGTGAGCTGTGCGGGTTCGAGTCCCGTCCCAGGAGAAATTTTTCTCTTGGCTATGGATGTTGTGATTGTCCGTAGGTGGTAGATGGTCTATGACTGTCGAACGCGGAGGTACCACCCGGCGGTTCTCGTAGGCGGAGCCAGAATGTGTGCATGTTGCATGCACACGTGTTCCCTCGCCAGAGTCCGTGTGGCGTCCCCCTTTTCCCATGTATCCCCCTATAGCCCCACGGTACCCAATGGGTGCTTAGGCCTTAGGCCTTCGTGGTAGTTGGAGTATAAAAAAAAAAAATCAATCCCTTCTTGGTACCTCGCGAATGCCTATATTGTTTTAATGGCGTATCTTCAGATGGAATACGCTAATTAATGTAAAACTTATTTAAATATTTATATATATTTAAATATTGATAAGGGAGGCGCCAAAAAGGGATTAATAAGCATAACGCCATCTACGGGACAACAGCAGAAACAAACACTATAACCATCTTCAAAATAGATTTCTAAATTCACGTTTGTTCTGCTATAGTATCATAGATGGCGCTAAGGTATTTCAGATCCCTTCTGAGTATCGGAATACAGTATACGGTTGACTAGCTTCAAGAAGAATTCATTAATTAATGACGAAACATATCTATAACATTATCTTGTTAGCGTGTTGGCGAGTAAAGCAGATGCTTGCTGAGTTGATTAGAGATCAAATTACTGCCAGTTATTTTCTCTCCCTATGCGCAGGTCAATTACAACAGCTGACGGGGAAAATTATTTGTTTAGTGCTAAGAAGTATCTTTCTCTACATGATCTCCTCATCCTATACAAGGCCCAGGTAAAACACAATTCCGAGTACTACTCACATATTTCGTGCGCTGCCGTCCTGACTACATCCAGAGGAGAGCTGTTCGATTGATTGATGACATTCTGCCATCTGGATTTCTTCCACCGCTATTCTATTTGCACCTTATACTTGAAGATTAAGCCCGAATCACCCGTACACCAACACAAAAGCAGCCTGACGTAAAAGGAAACTCTCGCTCATGGATATCCGCTTCGCCCGTTTGCAATCTACTGTTTATTTGCAGGTTTGGTCGAGTCGTACATTTACGTATCTCTGCTTTGTATTAAAATCTTATAACATTCTACAATTAGATTTATGCCGATATTCAGGTCTTATTAGGGTCCATAAACGGCTTCCGTCTATTGTTCATATATTTATTTATCTTGAATCTCACATGTACAAATTATAACGTGCTGCTATACGCAGAAGCGCTGTTTGATATACTGATCGTCAAAAGTATTCAAAATGTACTCAACCAGAACAAAACACTGTCGGAGACGAGACAGATTCGTAAAGAGAAAACCTGTCATTTCTAACGGATATCTTAAGATTCTGGAGGAAGTCGGACGACGACAGGGTCATAAGGCTTAGCTCACATAGGAGGGCAGTATGTCTGATTGAAACTCTTTGTAATATGAAGAGCAACAAAATGAGCTTCGTGGACGGACTGAATGAGGTCACTTTACAACTCAGCGACGTCATTTAGGAACCCCAGTACTGCTCGTTGCGATAGATAACAAAAAAATGGCGGCAAGTAGGTTGACTCTGCACTTTCTATGCAACGCTGTTATCAGTTTAAAAAGGATTATGTTCAGCACAAGTTAACCGCTCTGATAAAAAACTTAGCTGCGTCAACATGTACAAAAAAAATTATACGGATCAAGTCAGCCAAACAAACCCATACAATTACGATGTGCGATGGTGTGTGTTTTTTATCTCTTGTCGATAGATGGCCCTTCCCTTCTCATCCGGAAAATTCCTGCGGACGCATATGATCGAAGCTATGTGTACATCAGGCGTGGATGTGACGATCGGTTCACATCCAGTAGAGCAGCGGAAACCAACTGCTACACACATGCAACGACAGGACTGCGAACCGTATGATAGACTTGCGAGGCTCGGAAATATTTCTCTATCATACCAAGTTTCAAGGAAAAATTCACGGAGAATCTACGATAAGTGAAATATATCTAAAAGTGTGCGTAGAATTACCACGGCTGGAGGCGTATAAGTATAGTGGTGTCGAAACACTGAGATATAGCCTCCCCCACCCCCTTACAACTGTGCCGCCACTAAATCGATTTTCAAAAACTGTATACTAGATAACTATATATTCTATATTGCTTTTTCGTCCTTGGCATAATAGTAACCTTGTGTGAAAAATTTTATCACAATCCGACAAGTACTTTCCAAGTTACAGAGAGATCAAGGACTAGCAGACAGACAGACAGACAGACAGACCGAAGGAAAAGGGTGACAAGCTTTTTCGTGATGTACATGCCCAACAACACCCAAAAACATAACGTCTGATTTTCAAAATTTATTGCGATTACAATTACTTTCACGCCAGCGGTACAGGAAGTAAAACGACTAACATGCTTATTGTAATTTTATTTTTTCACTACTAACCGGAGAAATCACCATTATTGGACCGCAATAGTAATGTCATTCAAAATTATGTAGCCAACTTCATTAAGACAATTAAACTTTATATTTTAAATTATTTAAAAACACGTGATACATAACTAAAGTACGGGTAATCTGAGAATTCTGTCTATACCTCCTTTGAGAGGGTCATTATTGATTACATTATACTTCGCGGCGCTATGCGCCTCAGAATACAAAAGCGCTCGACCAACAATGGCTTACTTCTAAACCTAGCTGTGTAATGTACTATTTTATTGTTGTTACAGATTTTGGTAAAATATGGTATGGTCAAAAGTATCAATTTAGAACATTCAAAACGATTCTTCAACACACCCCAATCACCTATAGACAGCTAATAGGTTTACATTCGTATTACTGCCCAGCCAAACACATTTTTCTACTTCAAAGTCAAAGGAGATGCATCAGAGCTGTTGCTTATCAGTATATAGGAAGTCGAGAAGGGAAGCAGTTCAAGAATATGAGACTGACAACATCTAAAAATGCACGCAATTACTACAGCATAGTTTTGTCAACATAGGGGAACTAGAAACCAGCATATTTATGCAAAGAATAAAAAATATAAATGTAAGTTAGTGACCTAACGACTTAACATTTTAATGTGTCTATTGTTTTAGTGTGTTATCATGACTGTTTTTAATTAACTAATATCTGTACCCTTGTTTACCCTCGCTTTATGTAATTACCATCTACTGTAGTACATTTTAGAAATTTGACTTTCAAAAACACACTTTGTGTAAATTTAGAATAAAATACTGCATACTACTACGGTGCAGCGTTGTTTGAATTATATATTCACAGTTCAATCCTATCACAATTGCCTAGACGGAAAGTTTGTTGCTTCCAAATGAGATCTTCAGACCATTTTTTTCGATCACGAGCATAGTGTTTTCAAGATTGATATAAACTTCACAGCTGCTGAATCTGAGGATGTCATTAATGAACGAATATTAAGGGAGTGGTCCAAAGACCGATCCCTGAGGGACACCAATCCCATCAGGCTGTACTGTCGACAGAGCATTGTTGATTCTTCGTTTCGTTACTCTACAAAAGTTAACTCACTCGCTTCAAATATAGGGATCTGAGCTATATAAATCACTTCAATTACGTTAAGCATGGGCTTGGAATGGAGATTCGTGTTAACAGTGAGGTGAAATGGCGTTAGAATGCCGCTAGAACGTCAATTACTGCTTGTGATTGATGAAGTCTTTGAATATCAGGTGCAACACTCCCGACAGCAAGAATTATACTCGGAATTATATTTGCATTATTGTGAATTTCTAGCATATGCGGATATTATTTGCGACCATGATAATGAAGTAATGATAGTGGAGTATGTAGAGTACAACAATGATCCCGTAATTCTACCGGTGCTTTAGAACTAGCTTGTTTCATACCTGAGAGGACTGTTCCACAATAGCGATTTGAAGTAGTCTATAATAAAGATGCCATAAATAGCGATTTTGTCGAATACCAAATACCCGGCCATGCTCTTGACCCAAGCGCCAAAAAATTCTTTTAGAACCTCCGAGAATGAGTTATAATGAATCTTGTAGTATCAAGGAATTTGGACTAGGAGGAAGGGCAAGCTTGCGGTTTATCTTGAACCCAAATTACGTAGTCAGGATGCAAGTTCATATTACAAGTTACAAGTTTCAGCTGCCCGTTTGAGACTAGTTGACATTTCACATCAAGTTCTTATTTTTCTACGAAAGGTGAGTTCCATACAATCGTAGTGTTCCCGACAATTGCCGAAAATGGTGAGGTAATTTTGATTCATTTGATTCCTGTTCTGTTTCCTTTGAGTGGTTATTTCCAATCTAAAGTTTGTTAACAGAACTGTATAAGTAACAACACTGAAAAATAAAAATATTCGGGACAAGCAAAAATTGTTGACGGATACTGAATAGGGCCAAGTAAAACTTATCTACCTTAATTTTAAAGTAATTTCCGTACAACGGTCAGCTAGGTACTTGTTTTCAAGCAAAGAATCTGCTCGGACCGCGTAGACTTCAAGAAACGTGTCCCATTATTTCCAATAACTGATATTCTTCCAAAATCACGAATTGGAGAGGATTGTCTATATCTTGTACCGTTGATAAATACTTGCTTTCGTTCCTTTGTCTTACTCGATTTATTCCTGTTTGATAACAATAATCGAGCGATTCACATCGCAACACAGATAGTATGTCTGCCCTGCTGTACGTGAGTACACTCAGGTCCATTGGGTACGTGAATATCCACTCCAGAGATAGAAATGTACGCGGTGTATTGCTTTGTCACTTTCGTAGACAATGGAAGGCAAATTAGGCAAATCTATGCCCTTAAACCACACAATTTTGGGGACAAATACTGCAATGTAAACATATAGGCTAGGTTCCTTCTAATCGACGATTAGTGTCAAATAGTTTTGTCCATGAATCATGGAAAAAAATGAGAAAAGTGGCCAAATAGACCGAATACCGAATAGTTACCGAATATTGGTACCATCTCTAGCCTATAAGCCGATTCAGAAGTATGCCACCAGGCTTCTGCTCTTCATTCTAACTGTGTCGAGCAGTATATATCGAAAACTGGTCTGTAAAATCGCTCCTTTGCTCCTAGAGTGCTGAGATAAGCTTGAAGAGGGTTCCTTAGTTCTTTAAAGAAAATTGGCAACAGTGTAAAAGATACCGACAATTGATCATATACGCAATTGAGGTTAGAAAAAATTTAAGATGCAAGAATTCCTTTTTCCCTTTGTTATTAAACTAGAACTTGTGATAATCCACGTAGGGCACTAAAAGTCAAATAACTACGAGATGCCATACAGGCTTTAAGAATAATTTCTGTTATCATACATCAAAGAGCACCCACGAAAAGTGAGATTTATAACTTCATAAAGATATAAGTTTTTCTTAAAACCTGCATGTTATTCCGTCTCTATCTTAACGCGGAGTATTACACGATTTGGTTTAGTAACAAAAGAGAAATACATATATTCTTGCGATTCATGCTTTTTATAACCTCAAGTTGCTTATTTGTCAAAGCGTATTTGATATGGTTGCCAGTAATCTCTTAACCTTAGGCACTTCAACAATCGTATCAGTAGATTATCTTTAACAGCATAGTGTCATTTAGGTCCCTGTCTTCTCGGCTGCTTCAGTATAGAATATATAGTTAATAATTAACAAATTGACTTCCGTACAATTAACCATCATTTTCGAAATTTACAAATACTGCCGCGTGTGAGAAGTATTTCATAGCATAGATATGAGAGTAATAGTGACTATTACCGAATTCATATGCAAATTTGCTGAGTTTCAAAAATGAGAAAGATAAGAAACAATTATATTCACTGTACACTGTCGAATTACAACACATAACGGGCGCGGAGGTGATTTCTCGTAGTTCTCACAGTTTTAGAAAACACAGAAAAACGTAAAAAAATCATAATTTATAACTTTGAACATAACCTGTCTTCAGAACGGACAACATATAAATAACCCGTCGGGCACAGCTAATAGATCATCGTTGGCAGCAGATTCAGTAATGATTTTCTCACTCAGCAAATATCACTGATTTTATACACATGCAAATCAATACACACAATCATCCAGATGCGATCTTGCTATTGAACCAACTTTTTCTCAGAGATGAAAAAACTATAGACTACTTGGCTTCACAAAACATATGCAACCAACAATGCGTGTAGTTGAGCTATTCCTGTATAGATGGATGCTCACAACGATCCTATTGAGCAAATGTGGAATGACTGCTTGCACCCTAAAAACTACCTAGTCTGCAAGATGACATTTTATAGTATTTTTTTGACGTTTTATAGGTTTTTTACATAATAACCGTGTCGGTTTTACTAACCTTAGGCAGTTTAAAAATCGGATTCACGCAGTTTCTTTAAGCTCCTTATCGCAGCCACAGTGGCCTGGTATTCAGCTTTCTGCCTATGGGTCTGCTTCGGTATAAAAAAAATACTTCTTTCAATGTACTTGTTGACTAGTTAACCGCCAATAAGTATCTGTAGTGCATTAGTGTTTATGTGGTTCTTCGATTTATTTCACAACACAGAATACGAAATCACTTGTAAGATACAGAACAGTGTAGTTAAATTTATTTAGTAGATTTTGCATTAAAATTGGTAGTTTGGAATATCAGGACTAAAATCCGTAGATCTACCGAAAAATCTATAGTTGCAAAACAAGAGGCGCCTTGTCGCTCATCCGGTTGAACTTGATGTGGCTCGAACACATCTCGTCAATCGTGGCAGCAGCTAGGAAGAAGGATAAGAAAAGCTACGAGACATTATCCATGCTCGATGCTGTTCAGAGCAGGGCTCCCCGGCTGATCGATGATACTTCTCTAACAGTCAGTCGCGGGACCCTTTTGCACCCACGGGCCAATCTAGCTCTATGTCCACCAGATTTGCTGCTCAGAGCTCTCAACGATGATGCCGCTGCTCGATGAGCCTGCCAGTCAGATGCGCCTGACTACGGCCTCTCACCCTAACCGTGTCGAACTTCATACATTCAGAACTGGCCGGTATGACCGTTCTTAAGTCCCTAGGGTATAGAGATTGTGGAAGAGCCTGCGTGAGGAGGCGTTTCATAGATCTACTGACTTTAGGCAGTCCAAGAATCGGATTACCGTAGCCTTAGCTTGCTGATTAAAATGCACCTTTATAATTCATTATTGGGTCTTATAAAAAATGTACGTAATTTGACAAACGCGCGTTTCCAGTGATGAAAAAACCATAATATGCAGAGACCCTTAGGGCATACTTAATATCACGTACAACCATTCCAGCCTTCCATGATAATGTCGGCATAACTTAGGCAATTAGAACAATTCGGTTCAAGTGGTAATATAAACCGCTGGATCGTAAATTACGGGAATACCAGAGAAGCTAAAAGAGATCCATCAATTTCATTCCGGCTCTAATTGCCTTTATCCGATAAATAAAGACGTTAAATACTTCAACTTTACTAATTTATTAACCGAATTTTTCTTGCTCGTTCTGTAAGATCGCAATAAATCGCCACGCCACCCGAGAGCACAGCGAGGCTACTCACCTTTTTTAATTGTGAATTCGCAGATATATTTAAACGATTAGTCAATTTAACGAAAAAATAGCTCGGCTCTTTTTCGCGGTAGTCATTTTGAACTGTCTTACTGTCAGCCGACTTTCTCACTAATAGGCTTCTTGACTCATATACAATTTCATAGTAAAAATGAGTATTTCTTACAGTATAGCAAAACGAAATAGGTAGAATTATATTTTGCATTTTTAGTACTAAACGGTGAAAGCGCTATCGGCCAGGATGTGACGGCATTCAAATTATAAACAAAGAACGTCATCCATATGTCACTCGTGGACTAACGTTGTCTTCTTTAAATATTTCTAAAAAACTCCTAATTTGTTGCTTTTTGTCTGGGCGGTCCGTAGTACGTTTGCCCATTAGTCACTGTCAAATATACGTAAGTGGAGTCTGTTAGTCCTGGTTGCCCAGAAACCAGATAATGTGAAGAACAGAGAGAAAGGGTGAACTAAAAACAAATATTGATTCAGGTTGTGTTAGAGTATAATTTTGCTCCACTGTGTAGTACACCGAGTCACGCGCGACGTTCTTTGGTACAATAATAGCCTGCGTTTCTGAATGATTAATTTTAATCCACCGTTCCGCCCACTCTAGTACTTCCTCAACCGCACCCTGCAACAAATCATGAACCAGACCACCAGTACTCGACTGGGTGACAAGTGCAAACGGCGTAAAGGATTGGTCCTAGGACCGAGCCCTGAGGAAACCGGCCCACTGGCCGTATTCTTGACAAAAAAATTTGGGAGGAAGGATTTCAGTAGTTTTAGAAGCCAAAAAGGAAAACCCTTTGGATTACTTTATAGAGGAGGCCCGCGTGCCGTATCTTGTCAAAGGCTTTTGAGACATACAAAAGCAAGATTCCAGTACTCATACTGAGGGTGAACCCTCTGATTACATGTTCCACCAGCCTGACTGCCTGTAGCTCGGTGTTATGCTCGGACCGAAAGCCAAATTGAACGTCAGGAATCATATGGTGCGTAAAAGTCGTAATCTTGTTATGTTGTGAAAACAAGCATGGACATTGGATTCGTAAAAACATAAAGCACACATATGCCGAAAATTGACACATTGGTGGTTGGTATTTTTTTGTCAAGATGTCTGCCCTACTGAGATCGCGAACATCAAGACTATTTAACTACAATCCATCTGATACAATTATAGACATAAAAATAAATAACATTTAATAATTGTTTATTAATATGTAATACATATTCCTCATTTTCAGAAGTCATTCAAAACTCTACCAAAGCTCAACCTAATTTTTT